ACGGGCGGGCAGGGGTGGTGAGGCGGGGGCATGTGACTCGTGGCCCTGCAGAGCTGGGCAGGGCACTGGTCAGCTGGGCCCGCGAGTCTCCGAGGCCCCCGCCCCTTTACCGCAGAGGGGGATGACGAAGTGGGGAACTCAAGCACCCGGCCTGGAGCCTCGCGACCCAGGCGTGGACGTACCATTCTGTGCGCGTTCTGGATCTTCAGCCTCTGCAGCAGCGAGGTCTCCCCGGCCTTGAGCAGGAGCACGCAGCCCTGGATGAAGTCACAGTAGGCGAACGTCCCCTTGTTCCTCAGGTCGTACTTCGTGGCCAGCTGCTGGCGCTCCTCTTTGCTGATGTCCAGGTTGAACTTCTCCACGAGAGCTGAAGGAGGGACGGCAGGCTAGCGGGTGGCCCTGCACGCACCCACCCTTACCCCCCCTCCTCCCTCGTCCGTTTGCTGAGGCTCCTTGTCTGCTCCCAGCCCTGACAGGACCGTGCCCGCTGTTCTGGAGAACTGGGGAAAGGCGGCTGGGCCCTTGTTTCCCAGACCGCGGCCGGTGGCTGGACAGGGGTAACTAAGTGCCACGGGGCCCCTGCACCCTGGGTCCATCTGCTGTACTGGGTTTGCATGGCCCCTGGATCTAAGTTCCCCGCAGGTGAACAGGGGCCCGTGGGAGCCCTGAATGAAGAGGAGAGGGGAGGGGAGGTGCTGCCAGAGCAACGGGTGGGGTCGCAGAGGGGCGGGGAAGAGCGCGGCTCGGGAATTCCACGTGGCCCTCTGAGCAGGCTCCGGAGACGCGCTCTGCGGGGTCTGCTGGGCCACACAGGTTTACTCAATCTGAGTGTCCCTTCCGTTAATGGCCTAGATATGGTGAGCTCCCTGTGGGGCACGTGGGCCCCCGTAAGACAGCCGCCGTGCAAGTTCAGGGCTCGAGTCCGCCTTTCCCCCTGGGGTGACAGCAACGCCACGCCGCTGCGTCTGCAGATTGCCAACACCCGCCCGGCCTGCACTTCGCAGTGGTTCTGCCGAACTCTCGCAGCTCTGCAGACGCTTCTTCTGGGGTGACAGCTCATAGTCGGGATAAGATCTTAGTGTAAGTGTAATAAGTGGAGACTGGGGACTGACAGGGGGAAAGAACCAAGTGCGGAGGAGGGGACGCTGAGCCTGCGGTGAGGCCGAGGAGGAAACCGGTGGAGGCCGGCGTGACCCAGATGTCCCGCAAACCAGGCCAAGGCCGAGCGTGCCGCTGCACTTGGCCGTGGAAGTTCTCCAGAAAACGTGGCTTTACAAAGAGGCCTGCGTGTTAGGCAAGAAGACGGGGAGCTATAAGGAGCCCTGGCGGCAGAGGGCGAGTGCTCAGACCTGGCTCCTGTAGGTGCCGCGCTGCACACACACCATGCAGCAATTCGTGGAAGCAAACCCAGCTGGTTCTGGCCATGAGGGACTGGCTCCCTCCAGACAGAGCTTCGCTGCTGTGCCACAGGTGCCCTCCTTCCTCCTCCCCTGCAGGTTGAACTTTACCAGGACTGTGAAGCGATTCACAGTGAAACACGAAGGGACACGCGATGAGCGGCTGCTGACAGGTGCGCACAGTGGGGGGCCTGGGCGTGCCCATCTGACCTCCCCCCAACCTGGGCTGTCAGCGTGGAGGACATTCATGTCCGCCCACAGCCCGCACGGCTGATCCTGGTGCCAGGAGCCAGGCGAGTGCTCACTTACAGCAGGATGTTCCCGACTTGGGGCCGGGGTGGGGGCGGGGGCGGGGAGGAGGACTCAGGCCTCCAGACTTCTGGCCACGGTCCTCGCCCGCCTGCACCCACGGTCCCCACCCGGGTTCCGGTC